ATTTATGATCTACAGTTTGTTTGATGGTTGAATTACTTCTTAGCGAGGTATTTTTGTCTCAATGCCTGTTTGGTCTTATCTCCAAATTCTGAATCATCTCTCTATTGTTTCAAGTTACTTCTATCTAATCCACCTCTTAATAAAACCATTAATTGTTTCTTGAAAAAATTGGATAGATTAATTAGTTAAGAATATAGTGATATTTTCTACTATTTTTGCATTTTCTATTTTGGCATTGCTGTTGTTGATGTCTGCTCTTAGCTTTCTTCTTGGTATAGTTAGCTTCGTAAAATCTCTTGTATGAAGAGAGTAGGAGTCCAAGGTTAATACCTACTATTTCATACTCAATACAGTTTATATGCAACGTATGTGTACATCAACTAGTATAATTAAAGGGCTGTTTAATAACACCACTTAAGGCTTAAAATTGAATATTTTAACCACTTAATAAATTAAACTCGTTTGATAATCTAAAACTCATACTACTTAATATTTTAAACACTTCTTAAAAATAAACTAAAATTTTAAGTAGCAAGCCACTTACTTATCACTTAATGCTGAAAATGTTAGTCAGTAAGGATTTTATCAATTTTTCATAACAAACAAATATACTCTCACCACCATTGTGTCATCGCCACCACCACTAACACTATCACCACCACCACCACTACCACCATTGTACCACCGCCACTATCATCACCACCGGCGCCGCCACTACTACCATCACCATTATTGTGTCATCGTCACTACCATCATCACCATCACTATGACCATCACTATGACCATCACTATCATCATCGTTGTCACCATCACTACCATTGTGCCACTGTCACCACCATCACCACTATTGTCGCCACCACCACCATTACCGCCACCACCACTGTCACCACCATTGTGTCGCCGTTGCCACTACCGTTACTATTACGTCATCGCTACCACCACCATTGTGCCACCGCCACCACTACCACCACCACCATTGTGCCATTACCACCACCACCACTATCGCCACCACCACCACTATTGTGCCACTACCACCGTCATTTACCACCACCACCACCATTGTACCGCCATCACCACCACTTCCATTGTCATTGTCACCACCATTGTTACTATCGCCACTACTATTGTGTCACCGCCACCACCACCATAGTGTTGCCGCCGCCACCACCACCATCACCATCGTTGTCATCATCACTACCATTGTGCCATCACCACTACCGCCATCATCATTGGCGTCACCACCACCATTTTGTCACCATCACCACTACCACTATTATGTTGCTGTCGTCGCCACCACTACCACCACCATTTTGTCACCATCACCACTACCACTATTATGTTGCTGCCGTCGCCACCACTACCACCACCATTTTGATGGTGGTGATAGGAATAAAGCAATTGTGGAGAGATGATTAAAGAGAAGTGCAAAATTAAAATAATAATAATTTTTAGACTTTAGCTCCTTATATTTGTCAAATAGTTTGATTAAATTCAATATTTAAATTTCAATTAATACCAAACAGTCTACGAATTAAAAAATTCAGCACTCAGCAGTTAAAATTCAGTATTCAATTTTCAATGTTCTGCTTTCAATTTTATCAAACACTACCTAACTGATACATATATCACCTATTAATTGAATATTCAATGTCTGAATTTGTAAGGTCTAAAAAAATCAGATAAAATGGAAGTCATCTAAGAGTAGCTCTTGGATGATGTAAATGTTTAAAACTAAAATGGGAAGCTAAAAAGTTTAAGGGTAGATAATATGTCTTTAAGCATTTGTTTAAAAACAAATTAGGTAGTTAAAAGTTTTTTTATAATGTTGACAAGATTGGATAATTAAATGCATAAGGATGTACGTGTCGTTACTCTTTTTTATAGGGACATAGTAGTTAATCAAAATTTTCATTTTTATTGACATTTTATAAATAGACAAGGTGAAAGAGGAAAAAATAAATTAACAAAATAATATAATATATATCTCGTGCATTGCACGGGGCTATGAAGTTATATTATCTATTATACTTGGATCAAATTAGTCGTAGTTGTTAATCCAAATGCATCTCTCACATTGTCCAAAAGGTCGCAACTCAGGATAGTCGGTGTCTTGGCCGGGCTGGGCCACTATTTGAACTGTTTTTAGGGTTTTTTGTAGACTGATACCCTATATAAGACTTGTTTGTATAAAAGTTCTTCGAATAAATTGTTTTGTAGATAAGTTATCTTTTTTTTTGTTCCCAAAACACACAAAGGTAACTGAATAGACGCATTGTCTTTCTTTGAAAACCGCCAGATTCTATTCACCATCTCCACAAAATCCGGCCATTATTGACAATATTATACTCATAACATTATGTCAAGACATATCAATAACACAAAACAAATTGTAACTGTGTGACATGCAATCTAACATGACATTGTCACACTCTAAATAACAAATTAATCAGTGGATAAAGTGAAAAATTGTATTCACTATCGCATTAACAAAATGAATTTTTATATATCAAAAAATATTACAATATGACATTCCAATGCAACATTACTCGTGATTAATAACATTTTAATGTGACATTCCAGAGTTTCAAACGGATTAAAAACATTACCCATAATTAATAACAACAGCCGTTGACAAAGATCAAAACATTATTCAACTGTTGGTGAAGAAACCGCAAGCGTCAAAGTATAACACAAATAGCCAAACGAAGACCGCAAATGAAGACCTAGATGGTGACCGCAATCAAAACACTGTGCAACTGTTGGTGAAGAAACCGCATGCATCAAAGTATAACACGAATAACCAAACGATGACCTAGATGATGACCGCAGTCGTGAACGATCGGTAAAACAACAAATGATGACCCCAACTTCAAAAAAGACATTGATTTTGTTAAGATCTTGTGTTGTCGGTTATGGATTATTTAGACATTCAAAATTTAAAAAAAAAAATTTCAAACTAGGAAGTTGTCTATCAATAAAACCAAATCCCATATAAAAGGTAACTGCCAAAATACAAAGATCATAAAAATGAGGAAAGTGAATTATAGTAAAGAGAAGAATAAAAAAATTTGTCATTGTGTATCTCTATATAATACATTTCAACCTAGCGGTACTTATTTACAACACATTTTTTTCCAGGTCTTTTCTCACAAAAACGTCCTCCACAAGGTACCTACTCATAATTTTTCATTGTTTTTACATATAATAGAAGTGGCAAATGACACAATACGAAAACACAACTCTAAATCGATACGAAATTAGTAGGTTAGGGTTGACAATTTCTCGACAAGAACTCGTACATGACACGACTGTTTAACATAAATAATAAATAGGTTGGGTTAGTGTCAAACACAAATAACTCGAAACATGTTTAAGTAGTTTTATAATAATAAAATGACAAATTTTTATTTTATTTTATCAAGTATTGACCTATTATTATATTTTATTAAGTTAGTTTTTTGTTTGTAGAAAAAATATGAACATACATTCAATTAAATAATAATAAATTTTTAGACATCAAACTGAGCGTTAAATTTTTTATTTATGGGTTATATGGGTCAACACAAGCATGATACAAACATAAATAAACACAATATAATTAATTAAACGAGTTGAGTTATGGTTAATTACTCAATATGAATCCGAAATAATATGACACAACACGAGTCCACACGATAAGATTTATCCCTACTATATAAATTCCAATCCGTATGTCCGGCGGTTTTTAATTAACCCGTGTGAAACATGACGGGTTCAGTAAAAATCGGCCGGATTTTTTGTTAGGGAAAATTAGAAGGTGGTACACTCAATTAGACTTAATTGTAAAAAAGTACATAGAAAAAAATGTTGGGTAATTAAGTCCTTAATTTTGATACTTATTTGTATTTAAGTACATTATTTGAATTTTATTAATTTTTTTGTGATATTTTTGCCCTTCATTAATCCACGTGTATTTAATGCACCACTTTTCTTTGAAAAGTGGTGAATTAAACATTTCTTAGTTTTATGGGAGAACTTTAATACATATATATATATATATATATATATATATATATATATATATATATATATATATATATATATATATATATATATATGTATGTATGTATATACTTGTTAAATCTCTTATCTAAATTTTGAATTATTTTTTAATGCACCTTGATTTATGCATCTTTTTTTAGAAAGTGGTTTTATTTTTAAATTAATTTAATATACAAATAGTGTAATAGTATAACAATAACAATGTAACAATAAAAGTGTAACAGTGTAACACTAACAATGTAACAGTATAACAATAACAGTGTAACAAGCTATTTACACAAAATATTGTACTATTACATTTTGTCAAACATATAGTTTCATATAATTTCATTCAAAATAGTTCATCTTTATTTTGAATTTGTTACCATATACACAAAACTACTAAACACTATATTTGTTACATTATTATTGTTATACTATTACATTATTCGAATATTAAATTAATTTAAAAATAAAATTATTTTCCAAAAAAAGAAAAACACTTGAATTAATGTGCATTAAATATAATTTGAAAACAAAATTACTTTTCAAAAAAAAAAAATACACATGAATCAAAGTGGATTAAAAATAATTTAAAATTTAAATAAAAGATTTAATAACAAATATATATATATATATATATAGATATATATATACGAATATATATATATCTACGAATATATATATATATATATATATATATATATATATATATTATACGTATTAACAAATATACATAAATTAAATTGCATTAAATACGTATTTATATGTATTAGCAAACACACATGAATCAAGGTACATTAAAGATAAAATATTTTAAATTAAATATCCTTAAAATGAACATTTATATCTTTGTAACTCAACTGTATATTTTTTTCTAAAATATTTTATTCTATATATTTTTTACCAAATAAATCTAATTAGGTATTCCAGCATACAAATAAACCCCTCCATAAAGGCACCAATTTTTGGCCCAAACAGCCAGAATTTCCTTACGGTCTCTTCTCTCTCTCTGAGGCCACTCATCTCTTTCACTTGCCGTAGCACGCTGTCCATCGTCCACTAGCCACCAGGTAAGTTCTCTCATCTTTCGCGTCACGATCTTCTGGATATTTCATAGCAGCATGAGGAAATGAAATAATTGATTTGATCTGGAGTACTTAACTGTGTATGTGTAACTGTTACTGGTACTTCTTCCCCTTGCTATGAATATCTGATTTGACATTCATACATTCTCTCTGCTTCATCATCACAATCCATGGATTTCGGTATTGAAATTTGAAATTCCATTCAGAGAAATATGACAAAATTAGCCATCCGGGTCTCAGTGGAGCTGTACCCATTATGGAGAGATTTAAATTTCATCATTTCATCGTAGTTTTTGAACTTCAACCATCAAATTCCCTGACAAGCAAACCACAGAACAAAAAAACATGACATTAATTTGAAGGTGGAACCCCATTTTTGTGGTCAATCAGTGTCTTGTAGCTTTGTACTTTCTGTATTTCTGTATTTGGGTGCTTGATCTTGGTGTTGGAATTCTAGTATGTACTGGTAATGAAACATAGCGTGGTTATAGTTTTTGAACTGGTAGAATTCACATCGTTTGGATTTATTTTGAGTTGGTATGGTATGATTTGATTAAATATTCAATTTTGTTGCCCTGATTGTATAAAAACCAAAATCCAATGCATTCGCCAAGTTCTTTAGTAGTGGGTTTTTTATGCTTATATTTTCCATTCAGTCAAAATGTCTTCCTCTGAATGAATTGTGTATAGGTTTGGCATTTTCTGTTTTTTATTTGATGTTCTATTCATAAAGCATGTTATTTATATAAGTAATTCAATTTTTTCTGTTTAATTATTATTCTCAATAATTCTTTAGTATTTTTAATTGTATGACCAAACCGGTCGGTTGGCCCAATGGTTGAATCAATGATCCGATACTTTACCCTGTCATTCAAAAATAACCACACAATCCTATATGATTTTAGACCAATCTATACTGTTAACACCGTTAATAATAATAATGATAAAATGACTTTTATACCGCTATACATAACCCTATGAAAATCCCCTCTTACACCAGGCCACCATCTCTGTCATCACCCACCACATGTAAAACCCCATAGCAGCCACAACTCCAAAGCTTCCCATCAACATTAGAAAATATTCCAAATCTAGTCATGGCAATCTAAAAAAGCCATTAGTTCATCACAAATCTTTGGAAAATCTGGTCATTGCACAGTTCTTCGTATTAAAAATTTAGCATTCAGTTTTTGGGGCTCATTTTTAGTTTTATCTAGTTTTGAAAACACAAGGTGGGGGCAAAGTTTATGTTAACTTAGATGGGTGTTTGTGTGATTTTTACATGAATAATATAAAATGAAAAAAAAATAATTTCAAGAATTTTGCTCAAGTTTAATTGTGATTGCTGGGCTTTAAGTTTAGTCGGTTTAAAACCGGTTTTGTTCATTGCAACTCTCTGGCCTTCTTTGCTGCCACATTGGGGTAAAAGCTCAGGGTTTCTAATTGACTAATTGTTGCAGATTCAGTACTAAATCAATCCAGCCTACTTGATCATTATGTATGAATTTGGCCGAACACTGTTCCAATTCCAATTCCATAGAAAGCTGCATGTATTATCCCGTGATGGTCCTAGCCAAACCCTAAAGATGAAAATTGCTGAATTAGAGAAGATCAGGAAGAAGAAGAACACCAAGAAAAATCAGTTATTTGTGGAGACTCCCGAATCGAAATCATACTTGGATACAGCCACTATGCCGATGATTCTCACTGCAGTTGGAGTTGCAGTATTTGCAAAGCTCCTGATGATGGTATATTCAATCTGTTTCCAGATATGCATTTCACCCTAAGTGTTATTATCTTTTTCAAAAATTTTGCACATTTTCTTGTGTTTAGGAATTAGTGTTTAGCTTCTTTTGGCAGCATGGAAATGAGGGAAGATTGGATTGGCGTTTGTTCTAATTTTGCCCACTTCTAATTCTTTGGCCCCAATTTTATTCTGCCAAAAATTAGCTTATTTGCCAATGTGAACAATTGTTCATTGAAGCTTAAAAAAAAAAAGAAGAAATAAAAAGCTATTGATGTCTTCTTATTAGTGTGTTTCAATGGCTATTATTGAGCTTAGATTTGGGGAATTTTCACAACTTGGCGTTATTGCAGATGCATGGTTTTGGTTTATCATGTAGCCTGAGTCTGGTTTAACATAGGCAGGTAATCAAATTAACTGAGGCTTCATTTGGCAGCTCAAATTGTGAATGATTAACTCATAATTTAAGCTAAGTTTCTGCCTTCCTTTTTGAGGGCTGGAATTTGATGCTGCACATCGTATGTATCTGTAGTCCTAGAAAATAACATGATTGATCTGCTGTGCTGGCAGTATGATGAGTCAAAATCCCAAGAGATGATTGAGCGCAAAATAAAGAATGCTCCTGCTGGTCAAGGCACTGTTAGAATGCTCACTCGAGAGGAGTGGGAAGAAATCCAAGAATTGCGGCCAAGGACTCCGTTTGAATCTAAGCTTGCTCGGCCAAATGCCCGGATAAGAACTGGCGAACCTTTGCACGTGGTAAAGCTCAATATTTTATCCCTGCCTTCTTTATCCATCTGTTGTTTGATGGTAAAGTGTAGGATGCCAAATGCAGGCTTGACACTATTCTAGAAATTGATGGGTCTGTGTCTTTATGGAAGCCTTTGACAAAGGGGGGAAAACTGATAATGACGGGCCAATGCTTTCTTAAATTAATACTGTACCCCCCCCCCCCCCCCCCCCCCCCCACACACCTTCTTTCCGGCTGGGCACGAAAAAAAAAAATTAAACACACTCTGCCACACACACAATTTATGAGATATTTGATAAGGAAAAACCAATTTAGGTAATGTTAACAACTTTCTTGTTGGCATAATGATGGACGTGAAAAGGCGAGTGTCATTTTGGGGAATTTGTGCTCTCTCTCTCCCACACACATTACTTTTCAACTATTTAACGTCTTCAGTTTGGATGCTCAATCCTTTAAATTTCATTTAAACCATGGAGCCTCTCACTCTCTGTTGGATGTCCAAATGTCCGATTTATACCGGAATGGTCAGACATATACATGTGAACTACTTTGCTGGTTGGGCATCTTACTTTAGGTATAAGTGCATGTGTGAGTGAGTGAAGAAGTATGTATTTTGATATCCTTGGCTTTTTACATCAGGAAACACAATGCTATGCAACATGGAACTTATTGATGCACTATTTGGGTTAATATGTTTGTCCATGCTCAGGATTACTGCAATTAATTTTATGCTAAAGTCTTGACCAATATACATATCTTCGTTACTTGTATTACCCAAGGATAGGAGTTTTTATTTGCTCCCAAAATTCTTCATTTCTGGTCCTCAATACTGTTCTTTGCTCAACGTTGCATCTGCTTTTTGTAATATTTAACAAGATCAAGAGTGACAAAATCTCAGTAATGCCCGAATAATTCTTGGTGGGATTATTGGCCTTTATTTTATTGTATTAGTTCCTAAGTACATGACATGGGCTTCTAGAATGCATCTGATTGAGTTCTTCATCCTCTTTTGTCTTCCTGATTACCTCCAGCCATTAACTGGTTTGGTAGATAAGCCATCCAATTAGTTTGGTGTAGTTTGTGGTTTGATACAACTTGTGAAGAGAGATGTATTAGCATTTTAGCAACATTGTAAGATCTTTCTTCTTTCATGTGTCAACCCAATTCAAAATTTTTTCCTGTTTTTATTGCTGCATCCAGCCTATTAAAAACCACAAGCCAGGTAGTTGGGAACACATTAGTATATTAACGTTTTATATTTAACCTGGAGAAGTTATGATTTAGCTTTGAAAACACTCCATACTACAATCTGGTTTTTACCGATCAGAGCAGTGCTAATTATGGCTCTTATTGACATCATTAGCATTTACATAATGCCAAAGGGACCCTGTTGCCTAGTTTTCCATGTTAGCTTGAATACTATTCCTATGGTAAATGTTTTTGAAAGTGGCGTCACAGTTTGCTTTGGAGCTGCTGCTTTTCATCTTTCCTGTTTATTGTGGTGCATTTGGGTGAGGCTTAAAACTACCCATCGCTCCAATCTTTAGGAACTTTCTATCCTGTCATTAAATGGAAGTGTGAAATTTACTATCATTAATGGCACAAGAATATGGTGCAGTAGTCCTTGCAGAGGCTTGATTGGCACCATAAATTAGCCATGACTAATTGACTTCTGACATTTTTTTTTTTACCGGCAAGTGACAGTTTTTTTGATGGTTTAAAGAGGTTAAATTAACTTAGATTTGAACATTTTGTTAATTTAGTTCTTCTGGTTGTGCTTTAATGAATTGTAAATTGTAGACCTTTCTCCTTGGACAATCATTATCCCCATGTTTTGGTGTTAATTTACCTGTTAATTGTTATATGCAGGATGATTTGAAGGATTGGACAATCGATGTGCTATCAGATGCACTCACAAGAGCTGAAGAAAGTGTTAGACACAGATCCAAGTGACTATGGTAACTTACAGCCTCTATAAACCCCCCCCCCCCCCCTCCCTTCTCCCCCAAAACAAAAAACAAAACCCAAATCCTCCTCCTTTCTTTATTTTCTCCATTTTTAGTTTATTAGGGGCCATTACAAACCTTGAAGTTTCGTTGAGTGAGTCTTGCCGCAGAATTAAGGTTGTTTTATTGGACCCACTTGGAGTTCAAGTCGCGCTAACAACTTCTTCTTTTGTCGGGATAAGACTACGTACTTGTAACATTTCTCAGATCCTGCAGTGCGCAATGGCTTGTGCACTGTGTGTGTGTTTTTTTTTTTACACAAATCTTGAAAGTTTTGCTGCCTGATGTAATATCCTACAAAATGTCTGCCAATGGGTAAACCATAGGAAGAAATTTGTTGCAGTCTTGGAGCTGATGCCAAGTTCAATCCGAAGAGTTGATGCTATTTGGGAATCCATGTATAAATAAGATTTGTATTATCCACTTCTTTAGGACTAAACAAAAACATTCCTTTCACTCATCCCAACTGTAATACTATATATTGTCCCTCTATAGGGAAAAGGTGATTATACTTAATTGGTTCTCTTTTTTAATTTGAGAGAATCTGAGGAAAAGAATTTTGTGTTCTCTGAGCTAAAAAATCATTTCAGTAGGAAACTTGGTTACTTTTAATTAGAGTTGATAGTTGAACGAGTTTGAGTTGAACCTAAAAAGTTTGTTGTCTTAATCGAGTCTAAAAAATTATTTAAGTTTGACTCGTTTAGAAAATAAGTCAAGCCTGAACGAGTCGAGTCTGTCGGACTCGTTTTTAAAATGAGCTTAAAAAATTATTCGAGTTTGGTTGATTTTTTAAACGAGATGAGCTTGAATAATTCAAAAACAAACTAAACCCGAGTCGAACTCGAGTAACTCGATTTGATTATCAATCTAATTTTTAATACACTCCTCTTTAACCTTTTTAGTTGTAGATCACATACTTAAGATTTAAGAAAGAACTTACTCTCTATATGAGTCTAGTTGAGCACCAATTTTTTTTTTTTGGGTTTGACTCGTTTGTTCGTGATGAGTGGTCAGATTTGTTTGTGTTTGGAATAGGGGTGTAACTTTAGCGGGATAACGTGAATTCAATTCGAGTCTAATCCGAAAAAAAATATTTGGGTTAGAATTTTTAATACTTAAGTTAGGTTTGGGCAAAACAATATCAACCTGAATTGAATTTGGGCAAGCTTTGGGTTGAGGCATCTGGTTGTTGGGTTTAACATGAATATTAAAATTGGGTTGAATTCAATTATTAAATCGGGTTACTTGAATATACATAAATATATTTAATTAGAGTTAGTGTTTATCTTCACTCTTTAGAATCCAGACTTTTACTGCACTTTAAGTTTTCACTCCTGTGCCTTCATCACTCTCAAATCCCTGTCTCACTCATCACTTTCCTCTCTCTCAGCCTTCCTCTCTCAATCATTACTCGTCTAAGTCGTCTCAGACTTTCAGCCTCCACCTCTCACTCGTCATTCATATGAGTTGTCTCAGACTTTCAACCTCCCTCTCTCACTCGTCACTCCTCTCTCTCTTTCTGGTTCTTTCTTCATCTGCGTCTTGCCGTTCATCTTTAATCACTTGAAAAAATTAAATCTACACTTCAAAAAATCAACCCGAATTAAGTAACTTAAGTCCAACCCGATTTTTAATTCGAAATCAGCCCGAATTCAACTCAAGTCCGCCCAAATTAAACTCAGTCAGTGTTCGAATTGAAGATTATATACTTAAGGTTAGGCTATGGTTGACCTCTCAACCCGTCTGAGTTGCACCCCTAGTTTGGAATAAGTTTCAAACGTCTTGTTTAAGCTTAGTTATGTTCCAAGACTAGTTTGACTTGCTTTTGTTTGTCTAATTAAAATAATCAAGTTTGAGCTTAAATTTAAGTTCCTACTGATGGTGTAAATCAATGTGGATGAGCAAAAGGTGCAGGTGATGTGTGATAAGCGTGGATCAGAGCTACAAGGTTTGTGTGTGATGCTGCAGTGAAATACTGAGGGGATTAAAAGGGGTGTACAAAGTGAAAATATAGTGGTTCACCGGCTCAGGAGCTCGGCTAGTCCACTCTTCAATGGAGGCTCTTGCCCCCTCTCCTTATCCCATACTCAAATGTATTATAATACGGTATATCTCGAAATTAAGGTTTTTTCTCCCTTTTTCTATGGAGGCGTTATATAGTATTTATAAGGTTGTCTCCTATTCCGTGAGATTTCAGCTGAGATCTTTGCTCATTATTCATGGGATCTTCCTTGATTTTAGGAGAGAATCTTGGTTGGTTGAGAGTTTCATGCATGAGGCCTAATTTTCGCAGTTATCCAGTTGTTTCCTAGTTGGTTCAGCTATGATCTCCCCAAGGGGAGCTCCACTCCTGGTTCTCTGAACTCCTCGTGTCTTTCCTGACCTCATGACCCGAGCTCACAGCTAGGGCTTGTTTGAGGTATCATCAGTTGCCCCACAGCCCCTGGTTCAAGCGGGCTTGGGCAGGGGTTGAGCTGTTTTTTAAACCGAGCAGGATCTGCACGTGACTGACCTTAGCCTGCACGTGAGTTAGGCATTTTTTATGATTTTCAGCAATCATGGCTTCCTCGTTTTTCATGCACATTTCAATTCACGTCTCTCAGGCTTTAAATGCTCAAACAGCTATCTGAACTGCCCTATTCCACTGTTCAGCTTCTCTGCTGCTTCTCTCTTTTTGTGATTTCTTGACTTTCTGGTTTGGAGTTCTTTGACTCCTCGTTCAAGATCGAGTTCTGTGGGTTTGATTTGAAGATTCGCATTACCCTCTTTCTTCCATTTCGTTCTAGGCTGCTGTTCGTTGCTCTTTCCCACCTAGGTACGCCCTTTTGTCCCTTTTTTTATCTTTCCTCGTTCTAGATCCCTCGAATTCGAGGTGGTCATTGCATTTCTGAGCCTTTCGATTTTTTTACTTTTGGAATCGAAATTACTGCTTGTCTCCTCTCCCCCACTTCGTAGACTGGTCTTTTATCGTGCGAATCCTTGATGTTGGAAGCTACTGCATTGACCCTAGGGTTATTAGGGAGTGCTTAATCAGTATTCCTCCTCTCTACCGTTCTTTCTGTTTACCTTTCTCCTGTCCAGTCATGTATACTCATTCCAGAGTTACACGCTCCTCTGCTTCTCTCTTAGGGGAAAGGTCTGCCGAAGGGGACACTGATTTAGGGGATGTAGGCGAGAAAATCAACAATTTTTTCGGTGTGGATGCTGTCGATGACGAGGAAAATACTGAGAAATCATCCCCATCGTCTTCTTCTGTGCCTTATAATCCTAACAAAGGTAAGGGCAAGGTGAGTGGGATAGGAGTCTCTGACAGCGCAGCGGGCACAGGGGCCGCCTTTAGGCATGCTGAGCTCATAGGACCTAGTGAGGTTGACTCTTCTCATGTGAAAATTCTCAGTGCTTATTACGATTTTCCTCTTGGTGTCCAGATAAATACACCTCATACGTTGCCTAAGTTCACAAGAGAGTATGTTTCTTTACGGCCGCTTTTGAGAATGACCTTCGCTTCCCTATGCATCCCTTCATTAAGAGTGTTTTGCAACACTTCAATGTCTGCCCTGTTCAGCTCTCCCCTAATTTTTGGAGTGTACTTGTGGGTCTTCTTATTTTATTCAAGATTCATGGACTCGAGGTCTCCAGCCTTTCCTTGCTTGTGAATCTTTTTAACGTCAAGCTCACCTCATCAGAGGGTTTCTTATATATTTCCAAGCGAACCACGGCTAGGTAGATCATTACTCATCTCCCGAGCTCCCATAGGGGTTGAAAGAAATAATTCTTTTTTTGTTGGGGGCACTAACTGGGAGTACAACCCTGCTGACAGGACTAATACTCTAGGTATTCCTAGAATTTGGTCCCCCCCTGATAACTTAGGTAAGCCCTTGCTCGAACTGATTGAGCTCTGGTTTGGGAATCGTTGAGTCGCATTTTTGACCTTTGCTCTCCTTGTGTTGTTTTTCAGGCATTCGACCAGAGCTCAGTGCTGAGGACGAGAGGGTAAAACAAAAGTTGGAGAAGTGCAATCCAGAGAAGTATTTCGAGCTCATCAAGCCCTAGGTCTTAGTAACACAGAGATTCAGTCCTCCTGAGGTATCGATAGAAGCTATGTTCCCTATCTCAGTTGTTAGGCCTGAAGACATAGAAGGTAACACTTTCTGAGGTGGTTCCCCTTGCCTTCCCTTCTTTTTCCTCTCCTATTTAACTTGCTCGGTCCATATCTTCTAGGCTCCTCCATAATGAAATCTACATCTGAGGAACTCCAGGCTAAAGTTGACCTACTGAAGAAGAGTAGGAAAAGTGGCAAATGGAAGGCCGATACTAGCTCTGGAAGCAGCCCCATTGACAGGGCTAAAGTGCAGAAGCTGGGAGTGCCCTCTTCTGTTGCCTTGAGCAAGAGAGGACAGACTCTCTCATCTCAATCCCTGACCCCTTCTCCTCTTCAAGGGGTCCAGTTTGGCCCCTAAAAGACTTCCGAGTCAGGGCTCGCTTCCCCCACCTCTTCTGAGGTTGAGGGAGCATTGAGGCTGATTACTGGAATCAAGTCAGACTTTGCACCCCCCGGACCGCCTGAGCAATCATCCCAGCTGCCTCTCCGGAGTCCCAAAGTCGAAAGGAGGGAGGGCCAGGAGACTGATGAAGATTCCTTCTTCGACAATGTTGAGTTGGCTATTGGGGCCATTTTATCCATTCTCCCTGAATTTGATATTCAGAGGGCATCTACCATGCCTCCTAAGGTCTCTTTCTGCTCAGCTCTCCAGGGAGCAGCCACTATAAGTATTTTCACATTCGTTCTTAGCTCGACGCGGTTGAATTGTGCTGATCTATGTCTGTTTCCTCTTCTTTTTTTTTTTGTTCACAGATGACTCTTCACTTGAAGAACTTGATGGGCAGGGTCCGATCTTTGGAGGACTCTGGCAAAGTTTTGAAGACATACGAGTTTAAGGTCGTTAAGTTGACCTTTGACAATGAGGGTCTTAGAGCTCAGGTGCAAA